TCCCTGTCACAGACGCAAAAGCAAGAAGCTGACGCACGTCAAAACTTCAATCCTTTAGTGACTGCAGAGGAAGGAGAAAAGCTAGGGCCGTCGGGAGGAAGGAGTCGCCCTATATTTTCTGCTAAACCCGTCAGACTGTCATTAAGTATGATTCCATTTACTTATATTGTCATTTAATTCTTTTAGTTTCTCGTATATTTTTTGCATAATTGTGGAGATTTTGCAGATTTGTCTGAACACGTCCGGGGTGAGTGGATGCTTAAATATGGGATGTTGGAAGGGATGAGTATAGGTCAGATGAAAAAATAAGAATATATTAGCCATTTACGACATCAAAATACTTGGATATTTTACAAGAAATGACTCTTTCCTAGATTAAGTTCAGCAATTGGCAGTCATTTAACGAAGCTGTTATTAAATCAAGTCATATGAGATACATTCGTTGAGATATTAGAAATACATACAGAATTATAATTTGGAGATACAGTTTCTCTAAAAAGGGAATTTTGAAGGTGTTAAAATTTGACTGGATGGAGTCTGACGTGAAATATACTAGAAGATAAACAGACGCAAATTACATTGTGCAGACAATAGAAAATAAAACTTTCTTTCTTTATTTGTTTGAATATCTATGTAGTCTAAAACATTTGCGCAACAACCTTTCCCATTTTTGAGTTTTCCTGATTCTTATTCTAACGTAATACCGTCTTTGCGTAGATATTCAATTTTAGAAACCACTGCTGCATTGTTTTACATATACTGCCATACATCTTTTGTACCTGTGGCACGTGACTTCTTTAACCCCCATCGCTAAGGTACAAGAGAAGTTGCCTATTACATAAAGTCTGCGGGTTCCTAGATACAGATGTAGGTTTGGAACCAGGTGAAACATTCTGGAAACGGAAACTTACAACATGTACCGGTGGTTTGAAGAACAGGACACAGGCTTCTGGGGGCGCGTGCCATGAAAACTTATCACGCGACATGCGGCTATATTTGTGTAAGTTATCGTAGAAACTGCAGTTTTGGTTTACGAGCGAGGATTCCCCAGTGTCAAGGATTCGTTACACGACTCTAGGATATAATCTAAAAATTTCACAATTAAAAGACGAAAGATATAACGTTTATATGTTTTTCCGTAGGCTTATTTACTATTAATTGAAGACAGTGGTTATGAAATAACAGCGAAAAATGAGCTATCGTGACCTCTGAAAGTAATGTAAAAGCAGAGATCGTGCTTTTTCATGCTACGATACGGACATACGTTTGGACACGACCTCGCATAATGCGTCCATTTTGAGCTGAGGGGGCATAAAGAGTTTGCATAAAGTTTATTTTGCGATTTCTGTATACCATTTCGGTTAGATTCTCACCACGAACCATGTATAGACTAGGCCTATCTAGTACTGTGAGATTACTATTGGGTGGAGCCACACCTCCACTCCGCCATCCGTGTGAAAGGCTTCGAGTACAGTTAAGTACCAAGGGTAACTTATAAATCGCTTTCGACAATCACGCGGAAGAATCCGAGAGCACAAGAGCAGTTGTTTTTGGCCTCGGATTCTGGAGGGTTAAGAAGACGTAGGGCCAGCACATATTGAAGGGATCTTTTCTGCCGGGGGCAGTGGGGAGTGAGAGAGGGGTCGACTAGGATAAATGAAAGCCACCCAGCCTTGATGGAAGAAAGAATGTCTACTTGTTACGTAAAATTAAATTCGAATACCAGTTCAGTAGCCCCACAAATAGAAGAACCCGGACGTCCAGGGCTCAAGGGGATAGCTCAGTCAGGGTGGCCAACAAATAGGCTGTCCTCTTACCCGCAGACGGAAGCAGAATCCAGCTACCAAAACTTTGTAGTTTTATAATTTAGACGATGGACGAAGTCCAAATAACAGTCTTTACCACCTTCAGAAACCCCCAGACTTCGACTTCTAACTGTATGGCTAAAGCAATTCTGAATTAACAATACCCTGACGAATGAGCGTTAAATGGAAGAGCGCGAAGCAGGATATGAATGTTTGCGCCAACAGCTGTCCGCCCCTCATCGGAGCATAGTATTGACATTGATCAAACTCCTCGTAGTGTGACTGAAGCAGTATCGATCCTTGGTAAGGCTCTGAAACGTTCCAGACTACACAGCGCAACAACCCAGAAGACAGAAATCTTCATACACCTCGCCCTGATGATGGAGGCAGTATGACCTCTGAAACGTTGGTTAACATCGACCAGACTACACAGCGCAACGAACCAGAAGACAGAGATCTTCATATTCTCACCGCTGTGAAAATCTCAAATCTTATAACTGAGAATAAGATTCAGTTCCATCTTACCTGGGAGAAAGTCTGTATCTCAGACTCAGCTGTACTTTGTGCCGCGTTGGCTTTCATCTTCCAGACCTACCTACTTATCAATATCCGTAGCTGTATTCAAACAGACACGTGGGCTGGAGTCGAGTATTATACACGAAATGTGCGTCTTATAGCAGGCGGTTCGTATTGAACTGCGGCCTTAAAGATGCTTTTTTATTTTGAACGAGATTGATATTCATAGATGACGAAGA